GGTACAATGTTCCCGCAACGGGCGAGATTGCGATGATATTCAGCGAAACACAGCTGCCATTCATACTCAAGAGAAGACAGTTAATGGCTCTTCTTTCGTTTGCAATGGCAATCCACAAGTCACAGGGCCAGTCATTTGACAAGGTAGGTGTTTATCTGCACAGCCCAGTCTTTGTGCATGGTCAGTTGTACGTAGCTTTGTCGAGAATGCGCTATGAAAACGGTCTAAGGGTGTATGTTGCTGACAATGGAGACCATGGAAAGCATGAGAATGGTAAAATATACACAAGAAATGTTGTATACAATGAGCTACTGGAATGAAAGTGATTAATTGATTTTGTAACTATACAACAGCCGGTAGTAAGGAATGACCTAATGTTTTAGTTACATTCAAAAGCGCTATCTTTGTATATCATCCATTCAGACACCCGTTTTTGAAAAACGGGATAGCGCAGCTAATCACTGATAAAACAACCATCCATTCCAATACTTGTGTTTTATTTTTAACTACCACAATCTTAGTATAACAACAGACTTGTTCTCGTAGACTCGAAATAATCCCAAGTTATACAAATAAATATTTAATAGCGGCATGAATAGCAGCGATAAGGTCTATAATGATAATAAAAATGGCAATCCTCGTTCATTATAACGATCAAAGTATCCGTAATTCTTACAATAATACACACTAGGCCATGGACACATTACAACGTGCGGGTTGTTTTCTGATTATTCTATTAAAACAATGCATTTTATTCATTTTTTTCTCTCCAATAATACTTCGATCAGTTCCTCATCATCTGCATACTTTTGGTGTTCAATCACCACATAATCATTTTTTCTCAGCAAAGGATACTTTACATTGTTACATATCTCGATAATAGATGCTTTTCCCGGTGTAATATGATCGATAAAGTACGACACGATCATTGAATTATCGCTTGATAGGACAGCTTTAAATATTAATTTAGCTGTTGACTGTGATTGATCGTTATGATTCCTTTTTTGATTTTGTAAGGATGCACTGATGTTTATTATGTTTTCAATTTTGTACGTTCCTTTTTTCAACATCAGAAGTGATGAAGGGCTAGGAACAGTGTTTTAAGAGGATCGACTAGTAGATGAACTGACATATTCTTAATCACATCAACGAAAGTCCTCTACCATGTTAGTATACAGAAAGTATGATTAAAAATACTCAATAACAATCAGGAGATTCATATATTATGCTAGTAACGTGTCAAGTATAATAAAATGTTTTTTTGATGGGTAACATATTACAACATGAAAATGTGCGTATAAAACACATGTTTATTGATGGAATAGACTTGATGTTGCAACCGCTATAATGAACTAATATTGATTTTTATAATTATACTAGATTTGTCTACTTTTTGCGAGTGCGGTATGGCTAATACTCGATTCTAGTGTTTTTAATCTGTTGTTGTTGCTCATAAGGTACTTGTATTCAGGTATTTCCTGTTGTTTAAACAAACCAGATATGCATCATAATTCCTATAGGCCTAAAGGTGCTTCTGCCTCCAAAGTCGAATAAACAGATCATTTCTTGCAGACTTGTATAGTCTTGCTCATAAAGCATCATACGTCGGTAATGCTCATCTATCAACATACCAAGCAAAATTATTGTGTGGCAACATCTGCTTCTTATTATTGCAAAACGCTTTGAATTACATGATAAACATGGAATAACTGTTCGCGAAAATAATCAATTTTTTTGCACCCCCTGAATGATCGAGACAGAAAAAATTCGAAAAGCAAAACGTGTTTATAGCGGAAATAGGGATGAACAGAAAAACATACGTGGTAAAAGAGAACACATAGCGAAAAAAAGTTGTGAGAGCGATGAGCAAGCTGCTAAAAAAAACAGGACAAGTACGAAGAACGATAACCAAAAATTTAGAACCAGTGGGGAGAAAGACAAAAGAGAGGAGAGAAAAAGTGCCGTAAACATTAAAAGCAAGTGTTCAAAGACAAGTGACAGAGATAATAAGACTGATGAGAGGCTAAGGCACGGAAGTAATCGTAGCAAGGATAATAAACGCAAAAGCCAGGACGATAGAAATACTAAATTAGATGTTAGTCAGAACACAACCATGATAAAAGAAAGCAGGCAAAAAGAAAAATACGATGCTACTAAAGACGATCTGTATGCTGTTACTGATAGCCCGATAGTGTATTCGCCGAAGAACCGACTTATTCTCAGAAAAGTTCCCCTTACAACTGAACGGGAGCTTCTTGACCATTTTAAACTGGCCGACAAGGCAAGGATGCTTATGAAGAATGATAAGTTTACGGGTACGGTCTTTCTACAATTTATGAATTTTAAAAAAACAAAAAAAGTTTTGGAAGACAAATCACTGTGTAAATTTAATGGTCACACCATTGAAGTGGATTACTGCTTGCCTAGGGAGGTATATCTGAAGAAAAAATACATGGGCGGTGAGGACAGAGAAGAAATGGGACAGGATAACAGGGACGAAAGCAAAAATGGAAAGATGAACAGTAAAACAACTAATAATTGTGAGGAAACATGTGATGTGGGAAATAAAAAAAGCAGTAAGCGAGGCAGTAATAATGAAACAGGTGAAGAGAAAGAGGACAAAAATATTGCGAGAAAAAAACAAAGAAAAGAGAAAGATGACGAGCATGATACTAAAGAGAATATCAAGAACAAAGAACAAAAACTTAACTGTGTTGAAATGAATGATAATAGGTCTGTTAAAAAGAAAAGTATCGGTGAACATGAGAAAATTAAAGTCGGGAAAGAATGTGTAGCTGATGGTAAGTACATTACAAAACCGTCTAAAGCAAATCTGCAGAACGTTTCCCCAGATACTCTTTACAATTTCGTGCTTACAAACTTGGCTTATAATGAAACAGAGCAGTCTTTGAGAGCATACTTCGATAGCTTTGGTATAATTCACGAGATTACCATAAAGAAGAATAATGATGGCTTCTGCACAGGCACAGCCATTCTTGCATTCGTAAAGATGTTTAAAACGATACAGGGTGAAGTATTATGCAATAGTCGTACGGTTTATGTCAGATTTATTAAGCACACGTACCGCATTTTTATATCAAGTGTTAAAAAGACGCTAACCAAGGAAATGATAGCTGGTTATCTGAGAGATAAAGGATACGAAGTTGCTGAAGTCGTTGTGCCTGTCGGTGGAGATCGTAAAAACAGAGGATATTGCTTTGTGCAGTTTGACGGGGAGAATGGTGTAAAGCGCTTCAAAAATGAATATCGCAGGCATAAGAAGTTCTTTGGCGGAAAGAGTTGTATTGAGCATGCAAAGAGAACTGACCGTGAGAACTGAGTACGAGGGAGAACATAACACAGATCCTTTATATGATCTTCGCTTCATTATATCATTGCGATCACGTGTCAAGCAGAAATAAACAGCATTTTGCCATACAACATGTCATAATTTTTTGCGGATTATTACTTTGGGTTGAGATGATTTGGTAGATGCCTTGGTATACGTTGATAGCAGTACATTAGTATGAATGCTAAGGTGAGTAAGACACTACGAAATTATGTAAGCTAAGCGAAACTGACCTCGACAAGCTGTATTTTGAAATATATGGCATTTTTAATAGGAATAATAGAAATTGCATACATAAGATTCACATCAAGCATTTCTCCCATCATTGACTAACACATCAATCACGACGTGCCATCATACACTATGAACCAATCATAGAAAGATTATTCCTACATTTGATCGAATTCATATACCAATTTGGTCTGATCATTTAATTTTGTTAGATAACATGTTCAAGTATGGCATGAGAAGTTAAAATTCTTTATAAATTTGTTTCTGAAACGCACACTTTATTCATACCGCACCCATCCATCGTCATCCACAATCTTTCTTTTTTTGCCTGTCTTTTCTCTTTGCTCATACTCCTCCATCTTTTCATCCATCTCCTTCATAATTTCCTCATATTCCTCAGCTACTTCCTTCAAAACATGCAACTCCCACTTCTCTAGAAATCTTTTCAAATCAATCGATTCGAATTTGAGGACGTATACGAACATATCGCCGTTTTTCTTTACCTTTATGGAATACGGATGTGAATTGTTTGGTGGTTTGGTGAGAAACAAAAGACGAAAAGGAAGCGCAAAACTTACGATCTCGCCCTTTATGTGCGTTGTAACCGACAGGGCTACTTTGTTAGCTACACCAGGAACATCGAAGGGAAAGATCAAATTTATCCTGCGTACATGTGTTGCTGTCATATGAAGGGCACAGATTAAACATGAACAAATTCCACCGTAATGATGGTATAGAGCGAAGAACACAACTGCAGGCACAAAAATAAAAATATGTAAAATTGCGATTGTGTACAGGAGAGTGTAGTACCGTAGTAATAGCACCTCTTCAGCTGTGCTACGGTGTTTAATAATATGTGGTATCTATTCAAAATCGGGCATGGAATGCTATACATCCGATCCAGCCATGTTTCGATATTGTACACGGTTAGCAACCGGTATCGGGAGGTAAGCGATGATTAATGGCTGCTATACCGAGAGCTAACCCAAAACCATTCGACGCCGAGATAATGGATTTGCACCCTGATGATTAGCTATGGTGCATACTGGAACTAAAAATAGTACGAGTGAGAGCAATGGATCAATATGGTGGTTTTAATCTGCTACTGTTATGTTGTCTTATTAGTTTTGGCTATACGCACTGTGTCATCGTTTTCTCTTTACGAATGTTTGAATTACAAAACGAGATTTACCCTCCTGTTCGTGATGATTGAGTTGGTCATATACGCACACAGCTTGACATATGCACAGACTGCACAAAAATGCTTTGACAGGTTTTCATCAGTGGAGGATACTCTTAAATTTAAGCTTATCACGGGGGACAAAGCTGTGTGCGAATTTGGTGAGGATTTGGAAGGAAAAAACATGAACATCCCAAATTTGACAAAAAAAGAAAAGCTGGATGCAGGAAAAGAACGTACTAACGGTGAATTGGCAATACACGAAGATTTGAGAGAGGAACACATTAGTAAGCTCCAGGAAAATGGGGATAGTAGCTGTGATCAATCCAATAATCGCGGTAATGATCACGTGATTGAGAACTCAAAAATAGGCAGAAGTGAAAAAACGAAGACGAATATGAAAAAAGGCCGTAAAAGAAGTAAGAAGAGTGTTTTGTTGAATAAGAAGGCTGACCAAGGGGCTGAAGATAGAGTCGTAAAGACTCACATCGTAAGACACAGACCAAAGAGCATTGTTTACATTCTAATCGTGAGACAAGATGAAGATCCTGATGAATACTATGATTTTTTGCTTCGTGAAGATGAAAACGTAGATCTGGAGCTTGAGAGGGTAATAATGACAATTTACAATTACAAGGAAGTCATGCTGAAAGACTTAAAAGTTGTCGATGAAAACAACAACAAAATAAAACGCAATGTAACCTTTTACGTCAAAAATGTGCCTTATCTGGAGGTTGGAAATGTAATGGGATTGGATAAAAAAGGTACGGTGAAGCGAGAATTTATTTATCGTAAAAATAGTGTGGCATGTCTTTGTGAATCTGATATTTTAATCTATCTGTTAAACGAGTACGATTTATCGTTTCAGGACGAAAAGGGCAGAAAGTATGTGTTTTATCGGTTTTATAGCACCCTATTTCTAGGTGGAGAGCTAGTGAACAACCAAATTATTAGCGCACTTTTTAGAAGAAATTTGTATGCTGGAGTATTTAACTTTTTCAAGGGCAAGAAAAATGCGTACAACAAATCGTTCAGAAATATTTTCCTTTGTGAACATGAATTAACGGAGTTGAACGAATTATTCAAAGAAGAAATGGAGAAGTTGAAAAACAAAGAAAGTTTTTGTGTCTATTTACGTGAGCTGTTCGACGCATTGCCATATTTTGAGGATCATAGGGATTCCTACCGCAATGTGATTAAGAAATTGCTGCTGAAATCGAGGAGGAAGGACGACACTGTTGCATTTGCTAGGGAAGAAAACCAGTAAATGGTGTTTTATACGAGCGGCAAGAAATGCTCAAAAGAAGGTAACTGTGTGAATTGTCTGCCATGGTACATCGATGACGACAGGTCGTGTAAATAAACATTAAGTATTGTAAATTTAGAAGATTTACTGATCCTCACGTATTGTTAATCCTAAGTTGAGGTGTGAAAGAACCGTTTTATTAATCTAGATTTTAGTATCAGATGGCAGGAATGTTTTGCGTTGTAGAATGGCTCCGTAAGCATGTTTTGAACATGTCAACAGGTAGATTGACAAAGGCCGTGAAAGCAATAGCAAAACAAACACTCCTAAAAACATTGCATAAATTGTAAGATACTCAGTGGTAAGCACGAAATGAAAACACACGTCACTGCACACCACGTGGGCTATAATGTACTAAAATAAGGTTTTTGTAATCCGTTCAACCTGATCACCGACAATCTCAAAAAATAATAAAACTACCATCCATTCTACAAATATCCGATAATTTATCTTTTTTGAAAAGTCTTCGTTTCTCTTTCAATGCCTTGCACCGGATTATTTGTCACAACCGGTACCACGCCGTTTCATTTCTCATCCTCCATCACTCCGCCATCTCCTCACACTTTTTCCTATGTTAATTTTTCGGTCAAAATCCTTCTTACTCCGCTCCACAGATAAGCCAACCCCCTTCTCTACTCCTCATAGCAATCCTTCTCACTCCACTCGCTCAATATCCTATCCTTTCTCCTAAAGCACTCAATCATAAACTCCTCGCTATCCCGAACATCCTCCATCGGCACCACTCTAACATCCACAAGGAACGTGCCATCAACCTCAACCGTAAAAAACTTGTACAGCTTGCTCACCGTTCTCTCGCCACTTGCACCCCTGTAATCAACCGTTATATCCACAATGTTTTTGTACACATGTCTGGCGTTCTCATAGAACACTTTAAATCCCTTGGTGCGCGGACATAGCACGTTTTTGAACGGCGGTATGCCCCTCTGCTGGCAGTACTCGTCAGCCATTTTTTTCTTTCTGGGTGTGAACCGCGTACCTTCAGGATATAACATCAACCAATGCTTGATATCGTTGCTGTGCACGTAATCAACGTATTTTTTGATGCTCTGCACGTCTTTTTGAGCGCACCTGTCCACAAAACAGAAGCACAGATAGTGCAAGCTCGGCCCAAGCACCGGAATATACCCCAGCGATCGCTTTAGTATGTACTTGCAGTGCGGTATCATCCCCTTCATGTTTGCAATCTCGTGATACATCAGAAAATCTATGGCACCGATGTGATTGCTTATCACCAGCACGTTCTCGCCATCCTTGATGCCAGCAACATCGCCTCTTATCTTCACCTGTGCTGTGAGATACAGCGGTAATCTGTACAAGTGCCATATTATAAAGGAATAGACCGTTGTTAGTTTTACGCACCATTTATAGTTCATGAAGTAGAGCGGCATGAGGAGTGTGCTGTACAGAACAAACGTGAAGAATATGAAAATGTGTACCGGCCATAGGAGCAGTTTTATGAGTATTTTTAAAAGTTTTGGTAATTTTGGCATACCGTGGCAAGGGTGCGCGAATTTCGGGTGTTTATGATTGACCATGATGGCGGGAAGAGCTACAAACAATTATGAAGAGATGAGTGCTGTACGAAGCATTCCCGCAATCGATATGACATCAAAATGAATAGAACGCTATGATAAGTCAATAAAACTTGGATTGTAAGCGAAATGAGGTTTACATGTTGTTATCAATACAGCTGTTACGGTACTGCAATCACTTCAAACGGTTATCTCCACCATTAGAACGTATTACCCGCTCAGATCCGTGCAATCCTACCGTTTTGTACTCACGGCCCTAGCAAGTGCATCCAGCCGAACAGCTGTTCATAGCATTTCATCACGTGGTTAAGCTCGTAAAAACAGCACGGTTGATTCTCAGTCAGAGTTTTTTATCGGTTCGCAAGCGGTAATAAAACCAAATCATGAAAATCGTTTATTTATCACCACACCTTTCGTAAGAAAAGCTACGTTCAATGCCATCGCATGCATCAAATTGCTCTGAACAACGCACTCAGTGTACCACGCGGGTTACCGTACCATATCGCAGCGAGTGAAAGATCGCGTGGCGGACAATACTCAACCAGTCCTGGCACAGAAAAATAATACTTTGCCCTCGTAGCGAACAGTCGTTCCATACCGGCACGAGGAGTGTTGGTGAGTACATAATTTTTAAACAGGGCAAACCACCAATTTTGTATTTTCCTACTCTTTACCGTTGTAAAACAGCAATACCAAGTTTGTTCTACCTTTCCTGAAATTGGTAAGAATACCGCTCTCAAGGAGAAAAGAATAACGAATAGGGCGGAGAAAGAAAATAAGGGCTGTGACAGTAGCACCAAGGGTAGTCTTAAAACGCAATGCAACAGGGGCAGCATCTCGTGCTTAACCGGCTATCAAGTATTATATTTATTTTAGACACAGCACCGATCCACATTTTCTCGTTCAGCACTTGTTCTACATTCCGTACCACCACGTGCCCAATCACTTGTTAAACACTTTTTTTCTGCCAATACTCACACGTTTACCATTTATCACCAATTTGTTGTTCAAACTCATCGCAATATCAACACTGCTCCTGTTCATGAACTCAACAAACGCGTAGTTCTTTGTTATCTGCTTTGATTGCCCTGCCTTACGCACCTGTGGTATCTCCACGCTTTTTATCGTTCCACATGCATGCAAATGCTTGATGAGCACCTGCCTTGTTATCGTGTGGTCCAAATTCCTTATTATCACGCTGTTGGCTGTTACAGGCTCTTCTTTCTGTAAAAACTGGTCCTGCATTCTTTGCAAACGTTGCAAATCGTTGTCCTCGTCCGTATCACTCACTTTATCAGCTGTGTGAGCAGTCTCTTGCTCTTTGTACGCGCCAACCACTCTGCCATCCTTCTTTATTTCATCTTCTTTTTTGCTATTTTCAGCCATGCCGTTTAATCCGTGCTCTTTTTCACTTCCCGTCTCAAAATTTCTATCGCTTTCAGTTTTGCTTTCTCTACCACTTTCCTCCACAACCTCATCTTTTCTGTCACTTTCCTCCACAACCTCATCTTTCTCGTCACTTTCCTCCACAACCTCATCTTTTCTGTCACTTTCAATCATTTCCTGCTCTTTCACCTGATCAATCCGAAATACGGCACCTAACCTACCTTTATCTCCTTTTCCCTCTTCACCACGCTTTGTGTTTTCATCCCTCTCACCAACTTCTTCTACGCAATCCACTCTCTCCTCCGCTTCGCAATTCCCATTCATATTAATCAGCTCAGTATTTAACGCTTGGTTCTTTCCATCAAATTTTCTACAACCTATCTCTTCCTCCCTCATGCTGTCATCCATCGTTATTATCCCTTCCTTTTCATCCATACCTTCATTACCACTCTCCGTTTGATCAACTGCCCCTTCACGTCTTCCATCTTCCTTTTTCATCCTCTTACTTTCCTTCGAATTTTCCTCATCAAATTCTACTTTGATCTTCATCAAGGGGTACCATTCCAATCTTGCTTAACTAACAATTAAAGGGAACGCCAAAAAGCAGTTGATGAGCTGTTTAGAACGTGTTTGTGAAGAAAAGGCTTTTTACCGAATGTTTATTTGAAAATTGTACCATATCGCTGGTAGAATGCACGCTGTGCAACAGCATACGATATGAATGAGGTATATCATCGTATTGCGCAGTTTTACTGTAAATTTGATGGAGTAGATTTGGCATAGAACAACCACGGTACAGCAGTGTACCCCAGATATAAAAGCTTATTTCAATTGCTGTTCCCAAAGATATTAATAGCAACATTACGAGGTGTTGTTACGATCATACGATATGTTCATCTGTGCAGCAGCATGTAACACCGGAGTATCGATGGCAGAACGGAACATACCACGTACAACAAATGTACCTACCACCACGATCACACGACAAACAAAACACACTGCTAAAATGACAAGCATACTTTATTTCTTGTGCAAATACCTGGTCCTTACCTTGTACTCATCTGTCTTCTTTTCAAATCCTAAATTTTCTCTTTCTCTTCTCTTTACATCCTTCTCCTCCACGGTTTTCTTGTTGCTCTCCTCTCTTCTTCTACTCGCCTCATACATAATTCGTTTTTTTATCGCGTTGTTACTCTCCTTAAGCCTATCAGACGGCTCTATCTTCTTGAGCCGTTCTATCAACGCCATAACATCATCTACAAATCCTGGGCACGCGTTGCTGATTTTGCCCTCGGCGTAAATCATCCCCTCAAAATTTGTATCTTCGATCGATCGCGGTATAAAGGTGATATAAAACCTATCCAACCTATGCTTCCTATACAACATCAGCACATCCTTGTTATACGTGCCATAATAACCCGTCTCACTCTTGCACCTCTCCAAATATCTCAGCGCGTGCACACTGCCCTTCTTGCGCACACCCAGGTAGCAGTTCATCCACTCAATGCCAACGTGCCCCGTGAAGATGAAGTATGCGTCGGTGAACGACATGCAGTAATGAAAAATATCAAACTCCTTCTTAAAGTTGAGAATAAGTGCAAGTGCGCCTGTGTCGTACGATAGTATGTGCTGGTTTACGCTGGTGTATGTGATTGTTGAGGGTGTAGCAGATGCGAATTTGTGGATGGCTGCACGTTTTTTCGCGGTGTGGCGGTAGTAAAGGATGGCGTTGATGGCTATTAGGGTGAATGTGAAAAGAATGTCGATGAGGCAGTTCATTACGAGGGGTAAAAAAAAGAAAATGATAAGGGGCTGTGTGCCAGCAACATATTAGAGCATCGCCGCCAGAGGAAATGAAAGCACCGTTTATTTACCACTTCACGCGGTATGATGCGATGACTTTTACCTGTGTATCATTCTGTGACAGGAAAGGGTAAGAAATGTAGTAATACCGTAGAACACACCGAGGTAAGTAATTACGTGTACTGCTCTTGAGCTACAGCACATTTTAATTAAATTTTACTCATTGCAAAAAGTGATACTTTCACACTAACCAGTACATCGTCGCTACCAAACAAGCACTGCCCCCACGCTCTGTGATATACCCTCCCATCCCTAAACCATCCTATCTCCCTACCAAATTGCACACCCCCCATGTCCGTTCTATCAACCCACATCAACACATTCATAACAACCCTAACAACCAACTTCATCCAAGAACTACACAAAACAAGTTCATTCACACTCATTCATAAAATTGGTGCTTTCGAACGCACACTCAATCAACGCTTCCACATCCCACGTGCGGCACGCAACGCTACACAACACTTGCGTCCAAAATATGAGCTCCATCTTGACATACCGCAGAACTATGGCTCATATATGGTGCGTGCCGATCATCGAAATGCTATAAGCGGGCTGCCTGCCGTGCGGTTCAAACCTAGCTTTTTTTACGGGCTCTACCGGTTGTACGGATGGTTGACGAGCAATTGGGACAATGACAGGAAGATTGATTGGATGGAGCAGGTTGTCATTCCTAGGTATTTTGAGGGTAGAAGTGTTGAAGATATAAGGAACTATGAGAGCGGAGATGTTGTTAATGACAGAGTCGAAATGAGGTTTGAGGTACAGAAGAATGGCAAGCACTATTATGGGCGCTGTATGGCAGATTTGAAAAATGAGGAGATTAGGGATTATGAGGAAAATGAGATTGCTTAGGATGTATCGGTAAGGTGAAAGAGAAAGCGGCTGGGAAGTAAAAGAAAACGAAATCGTTAGGAAAGGATGAGCACAAAATGAAACAATGCGGTATGCCGGTGAATTGATTATTAACGGTTAAGAAGAAGGTAATGGCATAACGCGTATGAATACGGTAGACGTGCACTGTCCATCGTGTTCATATGATTAAACCTGTGATTTCGTACATCGAATACGTTTTTTACCCGTAATTTTCAACCATCCAATGCTAATGCAACAAACCGTTACACCGGCATGTCCATAACACCTCAGTATTCACTGTTTCGTTCAATTCTTTCATATATTCATTATTTTATATTTCATATTGATATCTACCGCTTTATCCATCCTATAGACTCAGGTATTTTTTCTGGCTTATTTTGGCCAGTTCACCCTCATTTCTGAGCCTACTCCTTACACCAGCGGTAAAATTTACAGAGGTTAAATTCTACACTTCCATATCAAATTTTAGGATGCATCGGCAATCTTGATCTTCAGGAACGGGTATATACCATCCTGCAATGGTTTATGTACATTATCGCTCTATCCACCGTCAATGAGTTAAAAGCACACACTTTTGAACACAACTGCCTTGAGCGCTTCCATAACTTTGTATGTGAGAAGAACACGTATTCAAGCCTTTTTCAAAAAGGCTATTCTTGCTCGAGTGCAAGGTTCACCTCTAAATTCAGGTAAACTTCATCTCTCACTCGCAAGCACATGTTTTTGCCATGTACCAATGAATACAAGAATCGGCATGTAAAAGGGGTGTTAAGCGAGTATCTGCTTGTGCATAAACTTTTTCTTCTTAATAAAGTAGATCAACATAAATTGGAGAGATAAGCCAATCCTACGATGCATTTTATACGCATAACAATTAATTCGTGTTTATAAGCTAATTAACAAATAATGAATAAAAGGTGCGTGGCGGTATGCGAGTAATTCACGTGGTAGTGTTAGCTCAACCATGCATGGTAATATCGTGCACACGTGTTTTCATTGATATAAATAATTGAAATGGTTGGTACGTGTTATCATTTATGCACGGCTGCTATATGTTCATATGCATAAAGCACACGTACTTCGCATGCATGCACATTAACATGCTGTCGGTTACTCCAAACTAACAATTCTCTTCACGTATACAATTTTTATCCACTCTTCAACCAAGTACATTTCTACACCTTAAACACACAAAAACCCCTCCTACCCTCTAACCCGTCCAATACACACCTCAAGCCCCTTTTCCCAGATAAAAAAGAAATCTTCTCCTCCTTTTAAATGCACACTTCAATCTTCCAGATTTTCGCACCCATGCGAAAATACTTATCGATCCTAAAGGTGTTCATCAGTTTTATTTTCGTTACCTCCATGATACTCAACAAAAAACACATAATAAAAATACCAATAGATGCCATTCCACTGCCGTCCAAATATTTGATCGTATTTGGTGCCATACAAATCATCGTGGTGATAGCACTCAGCATGTGCACCATAATATGGACGGTAAATAAGCGGGTAATGGTGTGTTTGGTGTTGATGCAGTACATTTTCATGGTTGCGCTGGGGGTAACCAGCTCATCGGTCCTACTGCTCTGCGTGCAGGCACTTTTTCTGCTCTCGCTCGATTTCCTTATCTACAGAAGAGAAAGTAAGAAAGCGTGGAATATAACGCTTGATACGAGCGCACAGATAAAAATGGTGTATATGAAGCGTGCTATTGTGAATTGCAGGATGGTTGATCTTAATATGGGGGAGCTTGTGCAGTTTATATCGCAGGAGGGTGAATTTGTGTGTGTAAGAAAGTTCAATGGTGAGGAGTTCACGGTGCACGAGAGCGATGTGGTAGATAACGTAGAAGATGTGCTTTCGTAGTGCCTGTGACAGGAACATGCTATGTTGTTAATAAATATCGGTTGTTTTGAGGACCAGGTGGTACACGGGCACGGGCGATGCAATGTTTTTGGGTATGGCAGCCAGTGCTGCGGTGCGATGCACTGTAATTTTGGTACTGCGGGTGGTTCATTGGTGTAGCTGATTTTATTATTTGTTCTTTGGCAAGGAATATTTGTTGGCAAGAGATATGGGAAAATATGAAGACATAGAAAAATACGGGAACATGCAAATACACCCTGTTCAATGTACGTATCTGTGATGTACTCTGCACACCCTCAATTCGTTATGCCTGCTTCTTTACGATTCGCCACAATCATGCAAAACTGTTATAACACACAACCATTATCCTCTTCATCCAGTCTCCATCGCTACAACACGCGTTCTTTACTTTTTGTAACACGCACAATCCGTGCTATGCTCTTGGAATAGATTTTAAACTTTGTTTTTGATCGCTATGCGTGTTCATCATGGTCGCAACAACACCAGTATGTAAAAATAATGCGAGGCTCATCTATCGGTATACCAACGTACTATAGGATTAACATCGTATTGTACCTTTGAACACAGATGCAGTGCCCATAACTGATTGTATACGTTGACATAGAAAGTAAATTTATTTTTATTTTGGAGGTGCTTAGCGTTAACGTGGCGGGCAAGAAATTTCAATAATTGCCATTTTTACGAAACGGTGTAGCCGTGATTCCTTGACGAGCACGCGGAGGGCCCTTCACAAATTTGCTTTTCACCTCAGAACACGCAACTGAGGAATGATTGCGAACACGGCTGCATACAATCTCGTAACACACTGTGCAAATTTGTGAATGGACCGGTTGCATCGCACCAATCTCCACTCCCATAAGCCCTCATGCCACATTTAATAATCCATTTATTTATTCGCCGGCACTAAAACACCCTCAAAAGTATCAACGAACCACTTCTTCGCCTCATCCTTACTAACCCGCTGCTTATTTCCAACCTTACTTTTCAACCTCTTCCTCTTACACACCCGCAGCCCGGGCTTACTCAAAACAACGATGAAATCCATTCCATAAATACCGATCGACGGGTCATACTTCAGTCCCAGATCAATATGCTCCTTGATCCCAAATCCAAACGTGCCCGTCTCCGAGAAGCTGCTCTCGCGCAGCTCAAACTCGCAGATCTTGAGCGCATTGTTCAAAATCTCTTTTGCCTTTTCGCCGCGCACTGTTACATGCACCGCTATCTTCTCGTTGCGGCGTATGCCGAACGTGCGAATCGTTAGGCGTGATTTTGAGAAACGAGGCTTCTGGCCAGTAAGCTGTTCAAGTACTTTGGCAGCCTTATTGAGCTTGTCGCCGCTCTCTCCTACGCACAAATTTATGGAGAGTTTGTGGATGCGCACTTCCTCCATTGGATTGGTCTTTGTCATTGGGAAGGGCAAATTTTTAAAAAATTTTAAGGCGCCGAAACAATCACACAGGATCTCTGCTGGTTGAGCGTGCACAACAATCACGATAAAATGCCAATTAGCAAATTTGCTTTGACTAACACAACATTGTTACTGACATTTTATATGCATCCTTGCTTATCGTAAAGCAATACGAGAATGAACCAGATGTACTTAGAAAAACATTTAACTGCTTACGAGACACGCTAGCAAGCACTACCATGAGCATCCGTTGGTTGACTGCACGTGTTACTGTTTGATATACAAAATTAACGACCATCACATGTGAAGGAGGCAAACTTTTAGTTAGTATCAGTTCATGACAGAAGCGCAGTATCAAAATCATTAAAAGAGCACTCCTTGTATCTGCTGTTGCTTGAAATGATGTTTTGTTTAGTGAAGATACGATAATATTGTCATTTTAACTTAATTTACATCAATACAATACCTTTCTCTTCTTGTTTATTCTTCAAACGCTTTTCCTACGTTTTATCATGTCTCAAAGTTCTTCGGTGCTGCTACCGATAATACTGGCGAGTGATATATTGGGATGCTTGCAGTTATCTGTCTTCATGTTAAACGTATCCAATATTTCATTTTCACCTCTCTTTTCGGATTCTCTTGCTGATCTTCATCCGTAACAATCAGAATTGCTTTCCAAGTAATCCTGCCAATCTGCCGAAAACGTAGGACATGTCGAATCTCTCGTATGCTTCTTTACCCATGCAAAATTCATTTATCGTACAATTCTTCCATTTTTCAGTATTAAAACACTTATTAAATTGCTCATATTCCGTTCCCCTGTTCTTGTGGTATTCGCTTAGATGTGAATCAGTTTATGTTCCATCCGCAAACTGGCTGGTCGTATTCTGCTGATCGTTGTTTCCTGATATCGTCAGAATGAAGGTGAGGAAATGGAAATCGGTTGCCGTGGGTGAGTACAAAAAAGTAGAAGAACGTGTTTAATGTCAACCAATAATAAATTTATTACATTGTTTGGCAGTGCACTATGATAAAAGAAATGGGTATGGTTATTGTGTTCGAGCTGGTAATATCTTTCAAGTGCCGTCGAATATTGAGATTGTTATCAAAATGATGTACCGAAACAATGATCTTGCGAAGGAAAATAAAGAAGCGTTGATCTTACTTCAATACAAAAAAGATAGAACATGAAAAAGAACAATTAAATGCGTTTAAGCAATTTTTCAACTCTCAGTTGGTATGAGATTCATGGGTAGTCCTGCAGGACTAGCGGGGTATAAAAAATTAGTACGGATGGCTGTGATAACTTCCTGAAAGCGTATTTAACTATCAAAATGAATGATGACACTTTATCAATAGAAAAGCATTCAGCAAAATATTTACTATTACTGTTAAAACACCTATTTGTTAAATTTATTATTCTTTATTAGCTGTACCATTTCCGTTAATAAACAGAAGAGAGTAAGACTACCTGTTAAATGATATTTCCATTTTTAACTGTTATGTTACGTTTTTGCAGCTGTTCTCGTTTAAACTAGACTTTGTAACAGGGGGTACAGGATTATTTTTCGGCTGATATAATCATACGTTTATATGTCGTTTATAAAGAACAACTGAAAGCGTCTTAAAAAATGATTTGATAGTAATATTTGTCTATTTTATGCTTAGAAATACGTAAGAAAAAATGTTTGTTCTCTCAAAGGGTCAAATAATTTATTTCACAGAACTGATCAATCAGCTTCTGAGTTGTCTTTTTACTCATGCGATAATGATATCACCTGATGTCTGTTCACAATAATAATGAACTAATATTAGGTGCAAAAACTACTACAAAAACACATGCAATATTTAGAAAACACAAATCCATAAATATTATTTAATCTTATGATTCTCATATCAGGATATTACTTACCGGCGTATCAACTCTTCCAGATGCCTTCTAACACACTTATAAAGATCACAAACTTGTTGTGTCATAAGTTCAGAGTTGTTATAATCCAACTCCTCAATTTTCTTAAGTATTTCATCTCGTCTCTCAGAATGGTTTGCAGCGAGATACCGTCCAATATATCCATACAACCATTTCACGTTTTGTCCTAACCTCTCTTTCATATGAAGTGAATAGATACGAAGAATCTGCTCAAGAATGTATTTTCCATTTAAGTGCTCCATGCTTAGATTCACATCCCAAGCAGCGAATAAACAATTCTTTGTAAATCCAATCTTGTCAAATAAACCAGACAGCAAAAAGAATAGAGGCTCATATCCCTCCAAAAAAGTATCGCAAACAGTATCAGGATTACTCGCACCACAAACTGTTGAGCAAGTATACTCCAACTCGGAAAAAAATACGTACTTAGAAATAACGCTTGACTTAACTTTGAACACACAAAGAAGTTGTGAAAACAGAAATGTACGAACAAAGGAACGATAAACGATCTGTCTCAGTATATTCTGTTTGTTATCGAACGGATTATCTCCTTTATCCGTCAGTTTTGTGCATGATAACACAATGTTTTCGATTCTGCTGACAAGATATATCGTGATCGCTTTATCACGCAGCAATATTTTTGTTACATTGTTGTGGAACTGCACAAAATACCCACAAAGGCTTGTAAACTCGGAAAAAAGCAAACACTTGTCAACAACTTTGTTTCCGTACAACATTTCTAATGAGTTTACAAATAAATTATCAATCACATTTTGCACAATAAAACAGCTATTACGATGAGAATGCCTACAACCTACACATTTCACACTTTGACTACTAAAATACTCTGCCTCACTTATCTTCTCATTAGTTGTTAGCATAGAATACCCTTCATTGTCATAGTTGACATAATTCACCAGCAACAGAGAAATTTTTTTCACACCCTCACAAGGAACATCAACTTGTGCAATATCCAGCTCCAAAAATAACAATTTAAATCTTTTCATTTGTTCTTCTTCGCTTTTTCAAGATGTAAAATATTCTGAAATATGTGACAAAATATCACAATTATCTGTTCCCGTATTAACTATCCTTCCCTTATTTATACGTAAACAACGTGCAGACTTAATCAACATTTCTTTTAGATTATCAAAATACCTGGACAACTCCAAATCTCCTTGGTTATCCTTTGTTTTTTGATCACATTCCTGACTAAAATCTTCTCTCTTATTTATCACTTTAAAAATGACATTTTGCAACTTTTCAAGCCTGTCCGAGCGACCTTCATTCGATTGTCCGCTCATTCTCTTGCGTTTTCCTGAGCTGCTCGCTCCCGCACTTTCACTATCATGTTGTGCATGTTCTTGTGATCCATCGCTACACGCGGTCAACTGCGTAGGATGGCCGACTACTTCTATACCAGGATATATGAAAGTGTTGCTTGAAGAACTTTCTCCGATATGTCCACTATCCTGGTCAGGATACGAGTTATCCATCACATACACCGATCTTATCAGTATTATAATCATTTGCATATTTGGTAAGGGGTATTAACAAATTTTTTGTATTTATACGCTTTCCTAAAATGCACAAACGGAAAAATCATACCCTTATTCATATGATGTGTAAATATTGAGCCAGTGAGCATGGAATAGCAAGAGTCATGTAATTGCTAAAATGAACAAAAATAATAAATAGCCTGGATAATACTTGGTTTATGTACCAACATTTTTTGTCAATAATACGTTTATTTACTTTCGACTTACTACATATAGTACATAGTGCAGAACGGATAGATATGTTTACTTATTTTATCCATGAAACAGATCTATTAAACTGTGTTTAATGACAAAGAACATGTTGTAAAGATGTGTAGCTACTTACATAAGCGAGTAGGTCCTGAAATGCTTCTTATGCTCAGTTCTATGCAAAGACTAACTTTGGTTGCACTGCTTGTTTTTCAAAACGGGTGCATGAATCGATAGTATACCAAAATAGCGCTTTTGAATGTGACTAAAACATCAGGTTATTCCTTTCTACCAACTGTTGTATAGTTACAAAATCAATAAATTTACTTTCATTATAATGGCTCATTATACACAACATTTCTTGTGTATACTTTACCGTTCTCATACTTTCCTTGGTCTCCATTATCAGCAACATACACCCTTAGACCGTTTGCATAGCGCACTCTCGACAGAGCTACATACAACTGACCATGCACAAAGACTGGACTGTGCAGATAAACACCTACCTTGTCAAATGACTGGCTCTGTGACTTGTGGATTGTCATCGCAAACGAAAGAAAGACCGGAAACTGTCTTCTCTTGAGTATGAATGGCAGCTGTGTCTATCTTGCTGTTGTTTCCCAGTATGACCAAAATATGTCCTCGTTTCTGGAACTCAATTGTGTACACAAATACATTCATTCTTTGTTCGCAATCAGGTCTTTCTTCAGTTCGTTCAGCTTTAGCTTGAATACTCTGGCAACCAAGGGAATTTAATAATTACAATTGTTGTATCTATAATAGTGCAGATCACAGCATCAAGTATTGTTAAAATTACGAATTTGTAACCGTGCCAATTTAGCACTCCTTATGCCACATCTCAACAACAAAGATTACAGCATCAATAACAGACAAAACATCTTCCTATAACACATGTAATGCACCAATTGTCTTGTGCGCATCGATAGTGGTGAGTGTTAGAGATATTTGTAGGCTTGATCGGTAATTTTTGTCTAGTAGCGCTGTTGAACCTAATACTGATTGTACAAGTTTATGTTATTGTGAATATTGATGAACAGAGCAAGGATGCAATACAATGCACCATTAAGAAAGAACAGAAGAAATGAATGAATACTAAACATGGTGCTTAACTTGATTTTATTTCATCCACTTAAATCATTGATGGCGTGCCAGAAGTATGCTCTTTGAGTGG